GTCTGGATCCTGCAATACGTTTAGAAACCACACACATGTGACAAAAGTTAGTGAGATAATAATCTGAGAAGATGTGAGGAATTACTACCATATATCAGAAAAATATTTTAATAAAACGATCACTTTTACATAAAATTCTTATACTAAATAAAATCACATCATATCACCCTTTTATTTTAGGATGGTCTTATATTTTCTAACAAAGAAAATTTAATTGTTTTCCAGATATCTTAAATGTTAATGTTCTGTTGCCCCTAACACTAATGAAAAATTAAAGATCATGTCCATATAGAAGCTGTATTTAAGAAGTCATCAGAAGTACTTAAAGAATTTATACATTACTTTTTAATTAGGAAGATTCTATTGATTATAAGCTTAAAAGCTACAAGAGATCTAATTCTATGTTTTAATTTTAGCATTTATAGCTACTCAGGCTTTTTATTAATTCTCTTATTAAAATGTTATCTAATTCAAGTGTGTAAAATACTGATTTTATTAGGAATTCATATTAGCTATGAGCAAACACTTTCTTTTTAAATTTTTTTTAATTATACATGGACACAATATCTTTGTTTTGTTTATTTATTTTTATATGGTGTTGAGGATTGAACCCAGTATCTCATATGTGCGAGGCAAGTGCTTTGCCACTGAGCCACAACCCGAGCACAGTCACACGTTTTTGAAGGCAAATATTAGTTAAAAATTTCAAATATTTGGGGTTGGGGCGATAGCTCAGCGGTAGAGTGCTTGCCTAGCACATGTGAGGCCCCGGGTTCAATCCTCAGCACCACATACAAATGAATAAATAGAATAAAGGTATTAAAAAAAATTCCTTCCTTAAAAAATTTTCAAATATGAAAGGTCTGCAAAGAGTTCATAATATAAGAATAATGCAACTAAAACAGAAATTTGGTTGTTTCTGTACATGAAGAACAAAGACAATAAAGCGATTCAAAGCAAATTTTAGACAAAATGTCTCTCAGGATAATGATTAAGCCTGTTTTTAAATAAATCTGTCAATATTGTATCTAGTTTATAAAAGTAAATGGACATAATTTCTACAATGGACGACACTTGAAAACATATAATACTTCTGAGACATAATTTTTTATGCCAAGAATATCAAGTAAAAAGATTCAGAAAGTCCAAAGCAGTGCCTGGACTTCATATATTTAAAAAAAATATTCCAGGGATAAATCTGATCTGTAATCTCAATTAAGAACTACCGGCCTAGAATATACTACATTTAAATTAAAGAGGTAAGGCTGTTGTCCATATTTTGAATATTCAAGTGGAGACTGATAACAATATATTGTTGTCTTAATTTCATCAGGAAAAGCACTGCCACAACTCTGATATATGAAAAAACCAACACCCTTACACATGCATGTGCATGAACACACATATTATATATTCAATCTTATATTTACATTTAAAATCGTCCAAGCACTTGCATCTTTTCATTGGAAAGACAGTTAAGACAATCCTGCTTATTCTATAATATAAATATATAAAAGGAGCTAACCTTCTTAAATTCAACTAAAGATATCTTTAATGATTTCTTTAGAAATAAGAATATAAAATATACTTAAATGCAAAGGCCATATCTCTATCATTAAATAAAAATCTAGTATTTAAGTAAATGCTGTTTGGCTACTTCTAGTCAAGCAAAACATAAAGTCTTAGGTTAAGAGTCAACCTTCAAATCTAAATTCTAATTATGAGGACATATTTCTTTCAGAAGCTTAATACATGTTCAATATCAGTTTTTTGAAGGATAATTTTGATGTGTCCTAAATTAAGGAAAGAAAGGAAACCTCATTGATACTTCCTGATGATGACAAAATGAATACTTGGCATTTTTTTTTCCTACAAAAGGAAACACTGTAACATAAAGGAAGTGAGTAGAAATTTATTCAGAGCTGGCCTGAGCCTCACAGGCTAAAATGATTCAACCAACTGATCAAACGTCATTTTTACATGTTTTCCTGATTTTCATGTCCTGATCTATTTTTCCTTTTCTAATTTTATTGAAGTAATGACAGAATATTGATTGAGAAGAGTTATAAAAATTCTTATAAAGCTTATTTTTTAAGTGCACTTAGTAATACTTGACCTCACTTTCCAAAAGGAAAACATCAGTATAAATCGCTCCCCATCACCAGGATGTTGAGATTCTTATTTTCATCATCACCAGTGTCAAGAAACAAAAGTAGATGAAAAGTTCTACAAAGATAACAGACTTGGTAACAGCCAAGTTGAGATATTAATCAACAAAAATGCCCACCTATTATTCCATTCTAAATATAGAGGTAATTTCTGCCATTATACAATACAAAAATAATTTCTACAGATAACATCTAAATACACTATTCTCAAAAGTGTATCTTACCAGTGATTTTATCTAGTGATATTTAATTTGCTGAGGCATACTGTTTAAGTGAGGAACATATTACTCAGCTAAGTTCTACTAAATTTGCTTATTTTAATAAATAAAACTTAATTTTCACTCTTCTATACTTTTGCTAATATTCTCAAAATTCCACAATTCTCCCACTGATTAGGGAGGCTGAGGAAGTGGGATTGCAAGTTCAAAGCCAGCCTCAGCAACTTAGCAAGACCCTGTTTCAAAATAAAAAATAAACAGGGCTGGGGGCTCAGTGGGTAAGAGCCCTTGGGTTCAGTACCCAGTACAAAAGGAAAAAAAAATCCACAATTTTGGTTTTTACTTTTTGAAAACAGCAATGTGAAGAATAATTCTACTATTCTAACCATATAGCATTAGTTTGGATAAGATATTATAGTGTGAAGAAAGTTTCTTATTTGCATTATAAAATGAATACTGCTTGTCCAGCTCCTCCATCTCAAATGCAGCACAGTAAAACATCGCCAATTTAATAATTTTTCTCTAATTATCTAAGTTTTTTATAACTTTTGGTATCTAAAATAATTTCAAATCCAATATTATAAAGTGATCTCAAAAAAGAAAAGGTATCTTATATCAAAATCTGATTAAATAAACAAAAGAAAAATGTACAAAGCTTTGACTTAGAAAATATCCCCTTAAAATAAATATTTTTCAACAACAACAAAAAAATCAATCATCTGAAATCTCCTAAAGAAATTAAGATTAAATTAAGAATGAGATGGTCCTGTTGGCAACATGAGTGAAGTACTAGACTGGGAATCAGTTAAACAAAGAGAAGCAATAAATCTCACTTATAAATCATAACTCTATATTGACTTATCAATAAAGACTTTTTTTCCAACACGAATTCCTGAAGTTCTCAAAAGAGGACTTCACATTTATGTGTCCTATTTTCGCATCAGGTGATTTCAGTGTTATTTACCTAAAGTGCAGCTATTTTTTCCTGAATAAAATAAAGGATTTTAATTTGTTAGAAAGAAAATTATCCTATAATTTTTATTAGTCCTAACTCATAACCCATAAAACTATTCAGAAGTTTCCCTAAACAATCCTTTATTTCTTTTTTTAAATATTTTTTTATAGTTGGACACAATACCTTTATTTTACTTATTTATTTTTATGTGGTGCCGAGGATTGAACCCAGGGCCTCACACGTGCTAGGTAAGCACTCTACTGCTGAGCCACAACTCCAGCCCCCGCAATCCTTTATTTCTTAAAAATGTTTTACTCATAGGATTGTAAAGAAAAGAGTATGAGATACCATGGTCAACATGAAAGAGAAAACCAAAAGAAAATTTCTCCAAGATTCAATAGAGAAGACGATCAAAGGGAAGGAAATCTATGATTTGTGGAATAAAAAATATTATTTTAAGAAGGTAATTACTGTAAAAAAAAGTTCTGTTTCTTTTTTTGTTTATAATCCCCTTTAAGAAAGCCTTGCTGTCATTCTTTCCTGAAAATGCATTCAACATACAAAATTTCTGCACAATGTTACGGATTCATGAATTCCTCCAAACCCAAGGAACATCAGATTAATAAAACTGATACACATAAAAGCTCTCTGACCTAACTCAAAAGATGATTTTATAAAAGAATTAGATTTAACAATCTTTTGGAACTCCAAATTAAATCAACCAGACCTTTGGTTCAAAATCTTGAATGATAAAGAAGAGTGTAACATTTAACTAACTACAACAAAATTAACTGTAATCCTAAAATGATTATATAAATGAAACAAATGTGTTTCTAAAAAAATTATTGTCTGAATGGCTACTTTTAGGTCATTATGTATCTTTTCCATTCATTCATCAATCACACAGATATTCAGGTAAAAAAGTAACACATTTGGGTATTATTGCTAACTCTTCTAATTATCAGAGCAAAACACACTATTTGCTTAGCCAAGAAAAAGCCAAAACATTTTAAATTTTGCAGATATAAACTGTGCTGCAAATGCCACTTAAAGGGTCCACTATAAAAATCACAATCAGCATTTCTGCTTAAACATACTATTAATGAAATACATCTGTAAAACATTATCTCTAGTTTCTTCTTTCCTACTCAACTTTTATTACTTAAGAATAATAATACAATTCAATAAATTATCATTACTAATGTGTTAAATAGAAGCAGAAGGGGCCAATTTACCAGTTACAATATTCATATTTTAATCTTACAATGCAAACCTGGAACTTTTGCTGAGTTTTGAAAATCCAACTGTGCAACAGATGGTTTTAATATTATTCCCTCCAATTGGGAGTTTCATGAAAATTGATATTTTTTATGTGGTGGTGAGTGAATAGGAAAATGATTATCTAAAGAATATGTGAAAGCCATATCTCTCAACTGTCCCATTATCTTTACTTTTTTATAGAAATACCTTAAATTTTGCTATTGAGAATAATAAGTGAATTGAACCTAATTTCATTTTAGAAGTTAGCTTTTTTAAAATGGATCCTATGATCTTTAGGAACAGGCCAGTAAATTGAATCAAATTTATTTTCTCAAATACATCTTAATATATACCAAGAATTGCTTAATAAGACTTGATTCATTAATATTAACCAGAAATTTTAAAAAGGATAAGAATACAACCTACATCTTTATATACTCCATACCAAATCGTGGCATTCCCTAAAATTATTTTCAGGGACAAACAGACCTTAAAACCTTTCAGAAAGTTGAGAGATGTGGTTAAAGTGACAAAGCAATCAATCAAGTTTCAGTTATTTATCACAGAAGATGGAAATAATAATCACTTGGAATCTTGAGTATTATATTCAGTTTCTCCAGCTGAAATCTGGCTGAGTCGCTTGCTAGATCCCCACAATTTTCGAGAAAGCTGACCTGAGCGCATCTGTTTAAAGTAATTCAGAAAAATGAAGAATAGATGTTAAGAAAATAAAAGGATATATGAAATTAATATATAAGACACTGATTTTTTAGAATGAAGGATAAATAAGATTTTGTTAGCATAATCAGCATGATTAATAATAAAGTCTTGTAATTGTCATTTAGGTGGAATGGTCTAATGCCAAATATAAATTTAAAAAGAAAATATTCCAATTATATCAAAATTACCACATTCTTTTAACCAAAATATGTATCACTTCATTAAAAAAAGCTTCTTACACTATAATCTAGCCATGGAGGTATACATGTTTGAGGATTTTCTTTTTGGTATTTGTACTATTAATGCTACTCATAAGGACAAAAATAAAGTAAACCATATTTGTTTGTTTCAGAAGAGCATGTATAGGGGATTGAACTCAGGAGCACTCGACCACTGAGCCACATCCCTAGCTCAATTTTTTATTTTATTTAGAGACAGAGTCTCACTGAGTTGCTTAGTGCCTTGCCATACTGAGGCTGGCTTTGAATTCAAGATCCTCCTTCAGCCTCCAGAGCCACTAGGATTATAGGTAGGCACCACTGCACTTTAGCTAAAACCATGTTTTGATGAAAATACTTTAAAAATATTTGATATTAGAATTTAAAAAATAAAATTTAACAATAGTATGATTAAAGGTAGTTTAGAAAGCAAGAATAGTAAAATGTCTCTGAAGGTAAGAATCACATTTTGTTCACCATTAATCGTGCACCACCTACCACCTTCCTTAATATACACCAAATATTAATTAAATCAGTGTGTAAAAGTATTTGAAAAGCACTTACATATCTACGAAGCAAAAATGCCATATGATTTGCTGTAATCACTTTTCTATGTACAATATTTTAATTTTTTTTTGGTGATACTAGGAACTGAACCCAGGATATCACACATGCTAGACAAGCGCTCCACTGCTGAGCTATTATACCCAGCTCTTTTCATTTTATTTTAAGAGTAGGTCTCACAAAATTGCCTAGGAAGGCATTGAACTTGTGATTCTCTTGATTTAACCTTCCAGGTAGATGGGATTACAGGTGTGCATCACCTTGCACAACCTATAGTCTACTTTTTAGATTGGTGATTCCTCTACCACCTTTTCTTAATAGTAAGTTTTCTCAGTTACATTTATTAGAGTGATAAAAGATAAGCTTCATACAAAGATACTAGTGGTTGGGCTGGGATTGTGAGGCTCAGCGGCAGAGTGCATGCCTCACACATGTGAGGTACTGGGTTCGATCCTCAGCACCACATGAAAATGAATAAACAAAATAAATATTTAAAAAAAAGCTACTAGTCGCTTTGGATGTTTGTTTTGCATTTTCACTTCAGATATATTTTCTGAAACAGTATTTTCATTACTCTATTACTACTTTACCATCTGATTTATAAATATAAATTTCACACTGACAGAATAATAAAAATTATATATAATTTAAAATACATTAATTAAGATTTTAATGTTTAAATAAAAATAAATCTAGAAACAGAAATGACTTTATAACTATTGATCTAGCTCATATTCTACAGTCATATTCATATAATAAATTATATTTTAATTATGAAAGATTCTAAATATTCAATTTATTATAATAGATCCATAATTCAGTCACTACATCTAAAGATATAAAACAGAAAATACTTTTATTGATGATCTATACAGCATTCAGATTCTATATATTGTAGACTATATAAATCTTACTAATAAATATCAAACTTATTTTGGTAATAGTAGAAAACATTAATTTAGTCCTACAAAATATACCTGCTTAGGTGTTTTTTCCAATCAATTTTTAAAATAACATGTATGTATATAACAGTCGTTTCACTAAAAAAAAATTTAGTAAGATCAGAAACTAACAAACTTTTACCTAAGTTGGGGAAAGCATGCAAATTTAAAAGGCACTTGGGTAATACAAAGTGAAACACTCGAAGAGTAAAGTTTCAGCAGAATTTTTATATAATCATAACATTAGCAAAGGAGAGGTGGGTCTGATTTGGGAAATTCATTAATCAAGAAACTCAGTATTTAATGAAGATGTGCTCAAAATGGTTTAAATATAAGTGAAGTACTGAGATACAGAGCTGCTCACATTGTTTGGGGGATTATCACATCTGAAACTAAATGTTGCCATCATTTTAATAGCACTTTTAAGAGTATCCTGGACAAAGAGCATAAGGTCTAAAGAAATTTTAAAACATTTATAAAGCAAAATATTCTTTTGCTCTAAAATAGATTATAACCACTGATAATGTAATATTAATTTCTTAAAATAATCCCTATAGATGCTATATAATTAGATTTCTCAGAAAAGACCAATAATGACACCCTCCCCCCAATTTATAATGATTAACTATGTAATAAATTTCTTGGAAAACCACAAAATTACTTTGAGTAAGTCACTAAGTTTTCCTAGAAACAATGATTTATGATATTTAAATATTTAGTAATTGATAAACCATCATCAAGGAAATTGACAGTTATTATAGGAAACTCACTGAAAGTAAACACATTAATATGGGGATATTCATAGTTCTAAACAAACAAATGATGATTTTACAAAAGGACATATAGTCATGTTGGGTATTTGTCAAAATTAAATTAAACAGTTTTACTGTTTGATTTGAAAAGGCTTTAATGAACTAAAAATTCATGTAGTGGTCCTCTATCTAGATTTGAAATAAAAAAGACTTTCTTATTCCAGTAAAGTGATAGACAAACACTGCCAAATGTGTATTTTTCAATTAATTACAATATAAACACCACTCTTGAATAACAACTTTATCCTCTGTTTTCATTTACTGCCCTTTGAAAAATCAAATTTGTTTTTGAGCTTGTTTATCCATAACGGAGACTTCTGAGTCAGCTGGAATGAAGGAGAACCAAAGGAATCCCCAATAGTACGGGAAATGAAATCCATGACACTAGGTTTTACCTCGGCTGGCTTGCCAACACCCACTACAATCAATTTGCCATCTTCTAAACCTATAAGAATATGGCTGTATTCTTTGGTTACACAAACACAATGGATAGGCAATCGCATGGCTAATGGAGTGATGCTGAGATTCAAACTAGAAGAGAAATAAAAAACATAGACATTATTACATGCATATATAAAGGATTCACAGAATCTTATACCTAGAAGATAACTTAATGATCACCTAGTTCCACCTTGTCATTGTACTTAGATTCATGTTTTTCTTCGATCATCTATAATCAAACAATTATTAATAAAACATCCATGAACCTGATATACAAAAATTATTTTCCTTATTCTCTAGAGAACCTATTCTTTTTCCTTAATTTCCAATCCATTCTATTATTACAAATCCTTTTTCTGATTTATTACTCATTTGATGGAAATATCCTATCTGTTCTCTTACCAGCGGTTTGCAGGTGGGATCAGAGGAAAAGTAAGAGACAAAACAAATGAAACAAACAAAAAACCAGGTAGGATTCTATGTGGATATTAACTACATTCTTGTCTTTAGTGTCCTTCCTAAGACAGGTGGAAATAAAGCTCTTGTACCCATCATTATTCTCTGAGCCTCAGATTATCAGTGGGCATTTGTTCTACCCGTCTTAACCTTATTGCTGAAATATAGCATTCTACGTACATACTGTGCTCACTGCCGTCCTATGCCTTTGTGCTTTCTTTTCTTATATCTCACCTACCCTCACCTCCAGAAGATGGCCCTCCATCTCCATCTCAGTTCCTACTAATCCTTCATGGAGACTTCTGACTACTGAGATCTACAGCAATCTTCACTGTCTTTAAAACTCCTCCTACACATTTAACTACCACAATATAATTTAGTTTTTAAATTATTCTTATAATTTCACAAATATTTATATTTCTCTAACTGGTCTTAAACCCTTTAAGATCAGTTATTACGAATAAATATCACAGTACTGGGCACATAAGCCTCTTTCACTAAATGTTTTTTACTTTGTGTACTAATAAGTGGAAGTTATGTAAGAATGCCAAAAAAAGCTCCAAAAGTGCACATGAGTGTATGTGCTTTTGAGGTCCATAAAATTGATCAATTTGCTTTGTCTGATAATCCATTATGATAAATGCCTGTGTTTGCTTAATACAAAATGATGAATTCTAGGATATATAGACCATATTCTAGAAAAAAATGCTAAAAGATTCTGTGATTTTTTAAATTGTAGATTCTGTTAATAGCACTCTAAAACTGCGGCTATAAAAATTCTTGGAAAGATATAATTGGAATGGATTTTATTTATTTTTTATTATGGTGAGGCAAACTAAAAGTGTTTTTAAGGTTAATCTGTTTGTGCATGGGGATTCTTCTGTTGATATACCTTTACTTTATTCATTTACTTGTAAGTGGTGCTGACAATTTAACCCAGTGCCTCACACATGCTAGGCAAGCACTACACCACTGAGCCACAATCCTAGCCCCTCTTCTGTTATTTAATGCAGTGAAGGAGAGGGATGTTTGAGCAGTGAATATGTGCTAAAATTTAGTATTCTTCAGTTACCCTGCTACTCTGGAAAATCTTTCTTATAAATTACTTCCTGGTCCAGAGTATTCTATCTTATTACATCCACATCAGATTCACTTCTATCCCTCTCTCCCCAAATCCCCTATCTTTGTGTTTTCCTTATTCTTACTAATCCAGGAATCCTTTATCATCCTCAATTTGTTCCATAGCTAGGAAATTTATAAAAATTTACATTTATTATTAATAAATGTTAAACCAAAAGATTAGGAATTTTAGATTCCTGGTTTCCATTTATGTTGGAAGTACCATTACCTTTTATTTATTTATTTAAAATATTTTTTAGTTATTGATGGACCTTATTATTTTTATTCATTTATTTATATGCAGTGCTGAGAACTGAACCCAATGCCTCACAGACATGAGGCAAGCACTCTATCACTGAGCCAAAACCCCAGGCCCATTACCTTTTATTAAGTGACAGTTCAATGATTTTTATTACTTACCTGTGGAGATCTCTTATAGACAGGAATCCCTGTAAGCTGCCTGTGATGATGTGTTCTCCAATTATACATATATCTGATATTTGTTCCTTTAGGACTTCAGACCCTAGATACTTGCCATTTATAGAAAACAAGTGTAATGCATTCTTATCCTACAAAGAATTGATGAGGAAAATTTAACAGTCTTGAATAAAAGTTCAGTTTTTATATTGTCACCTAAAACTATAACAAAATGATTACAATTTGGTTGTATTTAAAGAGAAAGTGTATAGACAATCTTACAGTGATTTCAAATCAAACTGCCAAGTAAATAAACATTAAACAAGAAATCTGATCCCTAAAAAAGAATTAAAATCTCTTTCCAGTCCAAAAATACTCAATATTCATAAAACAAAAAGATTTCCTTAATATTTAAAAAGCTTTATCACTGAAGAGAAATAAACAAATAAAATTAAGGGTTTACTTATTTATACCCTGCTTTGTGTGAAAATAATTTCAGTTGACTATCATTTCATGTAAAATTATGAACTCCCACATAATCAGAATTTATTTTTAGAAATCATGTATTATACAAACCAATAGAAATTCCTAAAATAAAATACAAATGTAAGGCCAAGATTATAGTGGAGGTCTATCTAATAGTAAGGAATAAAAAACTCAATGATGAAAGGAAAAACAGACTCTTTAAAACACGGAATTCATTCCTTCCTCCAACTGCCTCATACATGTTGGGAGGAAAAGACATACTATCTGTAGTCTACATCTACTACTTGAAAGTGTTACATACCTTGAGGATGGTCGGTTCTTCACTGCTAGAGTAGATTACAATATATCCTTCCCAAGATATAGCCAAGTTGGGAATGGTCAGGAATAGAGAACTCTCACATGGTGGTCGTAAAGTCCTCATGTACTGACCTTTCTGAATGGTATGTATAATCACGGTGCCATCCTACAAATAAGAAATATTACAAAAGGGAAATCAACAATCACAAAAAAAGAAAGTGGACTGGGGTTGTGGATCAGTGGTAGAGCGCTTGTCCAGCATGTATGAGGCACTGGGTTTGATTCTCAGCGCTGCATATAAATAAATAAAATCTATTGACAACTAAAAAAGTAGATAAATAAATAAAATTGTTTCTAAAAAACAAGATAGTAAAGTGGTTGGAAAACAAACATGGAAAGGGAACTAGAAAATGATCATTCTACCAAGAACATATATATCTTAGGAAAATTCCAATTTTGGATTTCAAGTAGTATTTTATCCCATAGAATACCCTCTTCCATTAATTAGTAAGACAAATAAAATCCCCAATAGAAGGGCTGGGGTTGTGGTTCAGTGGTAGAGTGCTTGCCTGGCATGTGTGAGGCACTGGGTTTGATCCTCAGCATCATATAAAAATAAAATAAAGGTATTGTGTCTATCTACAACCAAATGTACACAATACCTTTATTTTATTTATAATACACATCCACACCCATATATACATACATACATATATATACATACATATACATACATATATATATATATATAAAACATTTGTAGAAAAAGTAATTAGGATTTCTTTCAAGTGAACTCTTACCCTTGATCCTGACACTGCCATGTCTAGTTCAGTGCTGATGCCAACACTCAATACCTCATCAGTGTGTCCATAAAGAATGTGAAAAGGTTTAGATGCTAAGCCCACAGGCGCGCCTCCCTAATATTAAAACAGAAAAGCAAAGGTGAAAAGAGTTTTCTTATTACTTTTTTTTTAATAAAAAAGTTTATTCTGCATTTAAACTTTCTAATAATAAAATAATAATGTAAGTTATCATAACCACCGAGTCAAATCATAGTAGTACTCATTATGTTTCTCCTTGAATTTCTAAATTATTCTCAATGTTAAAGTCAAAAACTTAATCTGAATGGTTTCAATGTTGACCATCTTGGATTAATTTTTCCAGGTATATTACTTGCCTTTTTAATCTACAGAATTATTTTTCATTAACTCCAAATAAACTTTTTGTTTTATATCTCTTCTCTTTCCCATTTACTGAAGGTCTCTACATCAGGGACTTCAATTATCTTTATGCTGACTTATTAAAGATATCCAGACATACCATTCTTTCTCTGCTACTATAATCATTTTATTTTTACGTTTGTACTCACTTTGATTACCTTAAATTTTGCTTTCATGCCATTGATTTGGTTTGAAAAACACATCAAATCTGTTTCTTCCTGTTTCTGCTTTGTGTTTGTTTACTTACGTAATAGCATTGGTTTTATTCTCAGTTTGATTCTTCTGTAACCTTCATTTTCATTTTACTATATTATGTTATGTTTGAGCTTCTATTTCAATGAACTGTTATTATGTTTTACTAATATAATTTTATTGCAAGGAATCCTCTGTCTCTAAGCTGTTTTCTTCCAGAAGAAAAAATATTCCTTCTTCATGTCTTCACCATACTTTACTTGTATATTACTTTTTGTACTATGGAACATTTAAATAGTTGAGACAAGTTACTTATTTTTTTTGGCCAGGTAGCAGGGGGTACCAGGGATTGAACATTCGGCCACTGAGCCACATCCCCAGCCCTATTTTGTATTTTATTTGGAGACAGGGTCTCACTGAATTGCTTAGCACCTCACCATTGCTGAGGCTGGCTTTGAACTCACAATCCTCTTGTCTCAGCCTCCTGAGCCTCTAGGATTACAGGCGTGCGCCACTGCACCCAGCTAGTTTTATTGTGATTATTCTAGGCAATTCTATTCACGCCCTCTATTTAATTCTGCACAATGTGCACTAACTTCTCTGGATACTCTATTACCTCAGACACATTGTCTTCTTAACCTTTGAGTGTTTATCTATGTGTATAGGGTATTTTAATTGTTACAAATCAAGTAGTTACGAAAAAACAGATACTCCCCAAATTCATTTTAAAAAGGTTCTATATCCCAATAAAGACAGAACAAAAACTGATAAACATAACAAAGACAGAATAAAAACTGATACATTTCACTTAAGAGCAGATAAAGAATTAAAGTATTAGCAAATAAAATATGGCAGTAAAATGTAATAGCAATATACCACAAATTACATAGGTTTATTACAGGAATTCAAGAATGGTTTAAACCTATTAGAGAAAGGTAGAAAACCAAGAAAACTTGAGAGAGAGAGAGAGAGAGAGAGAGAGAGAGAGAGAGAGAGCGAGAGCGAGAGAGAGAGAGAGAGAGAGAGAGAGAGACACTCTTCCTGAATACTATTGAGAATATAAAAGGTTCATGGAAATTATAAATCTATAATTTCCAGAGATTCCAATAGAAAGGGCAGTAAAAGTATTATGCTATCTAGACAATAATAATAATCACTATTTTCCTAGGAAAGGTTAACAAGGAGAAACTTTTGGAAAGTATAGGAGATTAGGCAATGAATAAAAAAATTTAAACCTAGAAAAAAAAAAAACACAATGATCGGTACAGGACAAAATCCAGGTAAAAGAATGCAAAGGAGTTCAAAAAGTCATCTACTGCAAGAGAAAAGTTCATTATCCTATTAGAACATCTTGTTAGTTTTCTCAAAGTGAATCTCTAATCTAATCGAAGAATATTTAAATGTGTGACTACCTGTTGTATTATTTGCCATATCATACAAGTGGTATCTCTGGAACCAGAAATCAAATGTATTCCACAGTAATCTGTAGCTAAGCAAGTCACAATATCTGTAAGAAAAGGTATATAACAAAATGAAATCTTGGTTTTGCTGAAAGAGAACTTTAAGAGCAATTTTAGTTAATGCTCAAACTATTGCTAAAGCTGTTATTCTATAACAGGAAGGAATGTAGAAATGGCATTAAAAACTACTGGCAACATGTTACGCATGAAAGAAGCAATATCAAAAATCACGGAGAGCTTTCTTTGACATTATCCTTTTTTATTTCTTTTTGTTAGTGTGAGGTATAGATGTTGGGTATGTGCAAAGTCTATTAGAATCTGAGGAGGAGGTCAGATAGCTTCAAATGAACCCCAGTTAATTTTTGTTATACTTTTCTCCCCTCTCATCTCAATCATTTTCTCCTTCAATTGGGCATTAAAATCCTACAGAATATGTATCCTTAAAAACAAAACACAAAAAACAGGACATATTATCATGCTGTAAATTCACAAATATATATAAAAAAAATTCCTGAACCATAAACAGTTGAGCTATCTATGTGATATGGGAAGAATCACTAGTACAAAATTAGCAGCAGATTCCATTTTCCCTCCCTAATAGCTTTATTAAAAAAATAAATAAATAAACCTGCTCAGTGTTTTCATTATTATATCAAAGACACATCAGGTTAAACTATATTCAACAATTTCATCTATTTCATGCTTTATTGTTAATACAGTAATAGGGAAGTTGATATTTTATTTAATGATGACACATTTTGTTATAAATTTGTCTTAAAATCCTTATTTCTATCAGCCAATTAAACTTATTCTAACATCTTTTATACCTGATGAAGGTGTATTTAATTTGTATTATGCTTTAGTATTCCTCTAATACATCAGAATTTAATATAAAAAGCATATAATATTTAGAATATTTCACTATCAAAAAGTTCACTCAGCCTCAAAGGTAAAAATTAGGGGATAGGGATACAGTTCAGTGGCAGAATGCATGCCTACCATCATGAGGCCTTGGGTTCAATCCTTCACACACCACCAAAAAGGTAAAATTTGGCAGGCATGATGATGCACACCTGTAATCCCAGCAGCTCAGGAGACTGAGGCAGGAGGATCTTGGGTTCAAAGCCAGCCTCAGCAAAAGCAAGGCACTAAGCAACTCAGAAAGACCCTGTCTCTAAATAAAACACAAAAATAGGGCAAGGGATGTGGCTCAATGGTTGAGTGCCCCTTAGTTCAATTGCCAGTACCCTCTGCCCCCAAAAAGGTGAAAATTTAATGCTTTTTATAGGGAACATGTACTACTTTCAAATAGTTCAAAAAGTTAAAAATTTTATTTTTTTTTTTTTGAAAAAAAAGTTAATGCTTACCCATATGTCTGATGTTGTGGGAGATAACTTTGCCTTTTGCAAGTGACATCACTTGAATGCTGTTATCCCAGTGTCCAGCACTGAAGAGCAACTTTGCATCATGTGATACTACAAATAGCTTAGAAGTGATCTCCAGCCCGGGAGCAAAAGGACCATTCATACTACGCTGAGTTCTGTAAACACAATTAATTAAACATTACACTTTTTCTTGAAAGATTACTTTTTTTGGTATCAACTATTTAAAAATTTCTCTAAAAGAGAAATAAAAAATAAATCCCTGAAGTTCTATTTGAAATGTCTATTAAAAAGTGATAAACGTTTAGAAAACACATTATTCTTACTTTCTTCATAGTCTTCATAACATTAAGATATACATAACAAATAGTCTCAAAGGTTAAGCATAAAGAAATTGAGACTGGTGAAGGTGTGAAAAAAGTTTAAATCTGGGCTTTTAAGGCCAACTTAATAAAATTGACAATTCTATTAATGGCAGCCTCAAAGTATAAAGACAAGATAGGCTATGCCAGGACAAAGAAAATCAGTAATAAATTAAAACCAGGGATCTCCTTCACAAGGTGATATATTTGAGGTAAATGCATAGCTAACAATGCTCATGATGACCTGCTCTTCCATTGCAAGCAAAGCAAGCTTATGGGTTTTATCTGCTTCTAAGTAAAATACCTGTGAGTGTAGCAAATTTTTTAGAGTTTGCAGAAAGACACAATTGATTGCAGTGTGTACATAAAAAATGAGGAGCTAATTCTAGTTCAGTTCTACAACTATTATTCCACATTAATTTGCTAAGAATAATCTTTGTACAAAAGACAATATTACTATGTTCTATGTGGAGTAAGAAGGAAAAAAGATATTATCCCCTAATCTCATGGAATTTTATTCTAGTTGAGGAAGACAAGAGAGATACAATGATAACAAGTACGTCATTTTAAATAGTTTTCATATATGATGCAATTGATCCCCAAAACACTGAATATAATTTAGTTAGAAAAAAATACAATTAATATATAGCTGAGACAACCCAGAGTAAGAGAAACATCACATTGAATTAGAATATAACTTTTGGAAATTTAAAAAAATAACTAAGTTAATTCTTACTACTTAAACACATAGAATTTATTCAGAAGTTATAAAATAGAATATAATTAAAATTAAGTACACTATTTGTACTGTAATTTTTGCTTTCATAGCTGCAGTTCCAGAAATTCAATCTTGTCTTTAAACCAAGTCAGGATCCTTTCAAGTCAGAATATAACTTCAAAAAAAGGAAGGGAATTTGGGCTGGGGCTGGGGCTCATAGGTAGAGCGCTCGCCTAGCATGTGTGAGGCCCTGAGTTCAATCCTCAGCACCACATAAAGTAAAATAAAGACATTGTGTCCACCTATAACTAGAAAAAAAAAAAAAAAAGGAAGGGAATAGGAGTGGTGTAAAAAAGAAGACAAAAGAGGCTGGGGCTATAGCTCAGCGGCAAAGTGCTCACCTAGCACGTGTGAGGCCCTGGGTTCAATCCTCAGCACCACATAAAAACAAATAAATAAAGATATTGTGTACAACTACAACTAAAAAATAAATATTAACTTAAAAAAAGAAGACAAAATCTGGGTCTCAAGACAGTATTTTCAAAATGAACAGAAGTAAAGTATAACAAACTCTATTGAAATGTATAATTAAACCAATATTTTTTAAAGATTAAAAAAAAAGAGCAGAATCAATTTTTTCCCAGCCATAAGGTACTGACTGTAGCTGTTCTGCCTTAAATGTTCATTTACTTACTTTGGATTTGTCACAGTTTGATCCTTGATGAATGTAAAGTAATTAGAAATGCTTCTATCGTAAGGCAGCCATCCATGAGTTCCAATAACATAATTCATGCTTACTGTTATCTAAAAAAATAAATGAAGATTCAAATGAAAGATTAAAGAAAGCAGCGAAGAACAATCAGATGGCCACTTATCATTTGGGGAATACTGTGGGACTGTGTATTTAACATATGAAACTCATTAAGTCTTCAAATAGTTAAAGTGGACAAAGCTCTATCTTACTGTAAGAAAAGTTGTCAAAATATATATATATATATATTTTTTTTCTTTTTCTTTTTTTTTTTTAATGTGTGGTGCTGGGGATTGAACGTAGGGACTTGTACATGCAAGGCAAGCACTCTATCAACTGAGCTATATCCCCAGGCCCTTATTTTCTTCCTCATAATTTCTCAAAGTTTATTAGCAACTACTGGCAGTCAGGGAAAATTCAAGATTAAGTCTCATCATAAAAATATGATACACACATCATTTAGAACATAAATCAGAAGAATTTATCTACTTCAGCACTATTTATTTTGTGGTACTGGGGACTGAGAACTAGAACTTATAATGAACTGTTAGGACTCCCTGAATTGATACAGTGAATACTTCCTTTTGAAAATGCAAAGCTTTTTACCCCCTTGATTAGAAAAGTAACAAACTACCCCTACCTCTCAATTCACATAACTTTAAAAAAAGGGTATTAAAATTGAAAATCACAAGAATTCATCTTTCTAGAATTTTTTCTAAGCAAACAATATGCATAATTATAAAAATAGGTCTAATTCTAAGTGACAAAATTAGAATAAAACAGACCAAGGTTTTGTCCATGAGCCAAAGTCCCACATCTCTTACTTGCTAGATCTGTGACTCTGGGCAAGTTACTTCTCTGAGTTTTAATTTCTTATCTGTAGAAGGGAAGTAACAGTAGTGCCTATCACATAGGATTAGGTGAATTAAATGAAAAATTCATGTAAAACATTGACCAAAGTGCCCTGAATATATATGTTAACATATTCTGCATTATTTCTCATTATTATTATTATAGCTTTATAATAAATTTTAACATAAGATGCTATCCTCTTGTTTTCCCTGCATAAAATTTCCTGGTTCTTTTCACATATTTATTCTTTTATTTTTTTGATGCTGGAGATTGAACCCGGGGCCTTGTGCAAATGAGACAAGCATTTTACCAACTGAGCTATATCTCCAGCCCTTTTTAATTTTTTTTTTTTTTTTTTTTTGTATTTGTAGATGGACAGAATGCCTTTATTTTATTTATTTTTCTTTTTATGTGGTGCTAAGGATTGAAACCAGTGCCTCACATGTGCTAGGCAAGTGCTCTGCCACTGAGCTATAGCCCCAGCCTCACATATTTATTTTTCTAGAAATTTCCATATATTTATTTTTCCAGATTAGAATTACAGTAACTACTTAAAAGCCACATAAACTGAAGACAGAATTCCATCAAATTAGTTTTATAAAAATGTTCTCTATTGTTATCATTATTGTTACTTTTGGTACTAGGGATTGAACCCAAAGCCTTGAGCATGCTAGGCAAATGCTCTATTACTGAGCTGTTACCTCTCAGCCTTTTTTAACTTTTGAGACAGAGTCTTATTCATGGTAGCCTTCAACTTGGCAATCCTCCTGCCTCAGTGTTTGGCATAACTGGGATTACAAGCCAGCTCCCATTTCCAGCCCTCTATTATTCTTAAAAATGGCTTTTTTATATACATAACTTTATTTTAATTGTTTATTTTTTTAAATTTGGTATTGAGGATCAAATCCATTGCCTCACACATGTTGGACAAGTATTCCTACCCCTGAGCCACAACCCCAGGACACAAATGGCTTTTAAAAAATGTTATTTCCTTTTTTTTTGGTAAGTTAGAATGGATATAGGAACTGTAGTGTGACCAAGGTATAAGTCAACTTACCAGTAACTCAGGACTGCCTTGAGACATGAAAGAACGAGACTGATTTTTGGGGACAATGGCTTTTAATAGTGGAATACCATCACTAATTCCCTGTAAAATAAAAGAGGTTCAGTGGTTGGCTCTGTTCATATTTATTAGGCACAGATTACAAAAAGATTTGTTTCTTTAAAGAAGAATGAACCCTATGATATGGCACTTTACTCTATCAATCATATAATCATTTAATTTAAAATGTAGGAAAGGAATTTATACCAAGTTTGGATGGTATACTTTTTTCTTTCAAATTTTTTTAGTTGTTGACCTTTATTTATTTTATTTATATACATGTGGTGCTGAGAATTGAACCCAGTGCCTCACACATGGCAGGCAAGTACCCTACTACTGAGCCCCAGCCCCAGCCCTGGATGGCATACTTGAAACTTCTGAAACCATCACCTTCTTCTATTCCACTACTCTGCTGTTAAACAGAGATGTAGATTTCAAGGAGCAGCAATCATTTAAAACAACCAGTGATTTATGACCTTTTCTTTTCCCTTGCTATGCTGACATGAATATAAAGTAGAAAATATAGATCATGTAAAAATACATTTGTCAATAAGTCAAATGGGAAAACTGATTATAATTCATAGAAAAAGTCTTTTAGGTTTAACTTCCCCAAAACAGACCTCTTTTGTTAACTGAGGTACTTTTCCTGAAAGCCTCAATGTTACTATTTAAAAATACCATTCTCAGAAAACATCTATTGTTATTTTATTACAATATGAAAGACAACAAGAATTTTAACTTTGTTCCCCAATAGGATAATAGTTCATAAATGATACCTAACATTAGGGTAACAACATTATTTGTTACCTACTATGTACCAAGTAAGAAGTGCTGACCTACAGAGGGATCTCTCTTCACAGGAATGTAAAGAGAAACATCTCTTTTGATGATGAAAAGAGACTAATAAGTTATTAGTACCCAAGGATATCTTTTCTGTTCTTGGGGAAAAGCTACAATGTGATATGGTGCACACAGAAAAGGATAAATATGTCACTGTCCATTTATATATAAGAATGTATTATTGGGCTGGGGATGTGGCTCAAGTGGTAGTGCGCTCGCCTGGCATGCGTGAGGCCCGGGTTCCATCCGCAGCACCACATACAAACAAAGATGTTGTGTCCGCCGAAAACTAAAAAATAAATATTAAAAATTCTCTCTCTCTCTCTCTAAAAAAAAAAGAATGTATTATCATATAAAAACCTGTCACAAGCATGTCTCCTTATGTGCTTTTTCTCTTTGATGATGATCAGATATAATGAAAATAGTTCTATCAGCATTATTATTATTTATTTTTTTGGTACTGAGGATTGAACTCAGGGGCACTCGGCCACTGAGCTACATCCTCAACCCTATTTTGTATTTTATTTAGAGACAGGGCCTCACTGAGTTGCCTCGCCATTGCTGAGGCTGGCTTTGAACTCACAACTCTCTGGTCTCAGTCTCCCAAGTCACTGGGATTACAGGTGTGCACCACAACGCCCAGCCTACCAGCATTATATAACAAACATAATAATGTATATCCATCAGATTATGGTTCAAATAGAGTTTTACAGATTGCTTTACGGGCAGTAAAAAGAACACAACAGGCCTGAGAATGCTATCCTTAGAAAGGCGTATTTGCAAGGCTGACCCTTGGCTGCCTTCTGGGACTTGACAGGCAAACGGTTCCTTACACTGTCATAAAACTTTTCCTTCGGTGATAAGGGTGGTTCTTTATACCTACACTGTGCTTAGTAGGGTTTATGCTAAACACCTGCTTTTCTTCTGGAACTTGGAATGTTAGTATGTGCTAGGTATGTAACTAGCCTCCAATAATAGTCTTGGACACCGAGTCTCCAGTGAGCTGCCCTAATATGTAAGAAGATGTTTTCACATTTCATTACTGGAATAATTAAGCATATCCTGTGTGACTCCACTGGGAGATGACTCTTGGATGCTTGTGCGGGATTTCCCCTGGATTCCCCCCATTTGTATTTTGTCTTTGCTTATGTTGCTTTGTATCCTTTCACTGAAATAAATCTTAGCACAACTGATACATGTTGACTCCTGTGAGTTCTTGCAAATCCCAATCTGGAAGACAACCAACACATCCCAGGAACTAGTCATCACTTCTCAGCACCATTTCTATATTGTTCTGAGTTCTAGGGAACTAACTTAAGATACTTTTGGAAAACTACCAGCACTGAAAAGTTGAAATAACTGTCTATGTGAATCTAGGTAAAGAGTGAAAGATTATTTTCCAAGTACTCTCACAAAGATGTGAAAGCAAATCTATACTAAAATATAATGGTGCTTACTACAACAGAGTTCATTTGGGTAAAACTCATCAAGCTATAAACTATTATAAATCTCATTTTACATTAAATTATCAAAAACCTCTTTACATTTTCTCATGGTAATGAACCTAAGAAACATTCTACAGTGATGCTATATATGCAGGATTTTACAAACTACAGCCTGTAGGACAAATCTAGTACACCACCTGTTATGTGGGCGGTGAGTGAGCTAAGAAAGCTTTTTATGTTTTTAGATGGTTACATTTTGAGTGGGTTATATATGTACCCTTTATTTTACCTCATGGCTTAGAAAGCCCAATATACTATCCGATCCGTAAAAAAAAAAGTTTGCCAACCTCTGCTGTAGTCTGAGATTGCTTGTTCTATGTATATCTCCAAACTATTTTTATTAACTTAGTAACTTTTTTTTAAAAGTTGTACATGGGCACAATACCTTTATTTTATTTATTTATGTGGTGCTAAGGATGGAACCCAGTGCCTCATGCATGCTAGAAAACGCTCTACCACTGGAACCACAGCCCTAGCCCTAACTTAGTAAATTTTAATCTTCATTTTTCTTTCATTTTTTTTTTAGTTGTAGATGGACACAATATCTGTATTTTTATTTGTTTATTTTTATGTGGTACTGGGGATCGAACCCAGGGTCTCAAACATGCAAGGCAAGCGCTCTACCACTGAGCTACAACCCCAGCCCTTCATTTTTCTTTTTGCCAAGAGCTAATATTATCTGTCATAAACAAATTCATAAGTATAAATGTATTTCATTATTACTTTCTAGACTATCTTAAATATTTCAAATGTATAAACATTTGAATTTTTAAATTTTAAGGTACTCTTTTTAAAAATTTTTTTTTAGTTGCTGATAAACTGTTATTTTATTTATTTATTCATATATGGTTCTGAGAATCAAACCCAGCGCCTCACATGTCCTAGGCAAGGGCTCTACCACTGAGTCACAACCCCAGCCCTTGAAGGTACTTTTTCAATTATAGCATTAACTATTGCTGTTTTGCTTGCCTATTCCTTCTTTTTCTTTATTATTTTTTTTAGTTGTCAATGGATTTTTATTTATTTATATACAGTGCTGAGAATCAAACCCTGTGCCTTATTCATGACAGGCAAGTGCTCTACCACTGAGCCATGACCCCAGCCTGTTGCCTATTCTTTCTTATACTATCAATAACAATTTATATTGGGCCACATTTTATTGATAAGCAGACACTATATAAGCTCTCTACATGTCATCTCAATTGTCACAAAAGTTTGTTTCTGTTTGATTTTGGTACTGGGGATTGAACCCAGGGGCACCTTACCACTAAGGTATATCCCCAGTCCTTTTTATTTTTTATTTTGAGACAGGGTCTTGCTAAATTGCTGAGGATGACCTTGAACTTGTGACCCTCCTGTCTCAGTCTCCCAAGTTGTTGGAATTACAGGTGGGCACCACTGTGTCTGGCCCACAACAAAGTATTTTAAACACAATTATTTGTCCTTCCTTGTCAGGAAAATGTGAAGTAGAAGAAAGAAAGTCAAAACAAATAGTTGAGACAAGCATTCAGCACAAACAAAAGCTTTCAATAAAAACGTTTTAAAAATCCAAGAATAGATTATTACAGTAGTACTATTTAATATTAAATATTATAATATTCTGCTCCATTAAAGAATGAAATAAACTTTGAGGTATACAGAATTCACAAAGAAAATTGTTTGATATTACCAAGCTTGTATATTACCTCTATAAAAAATGACTTGAGTTCAGGGAGGTGTTGAAATAGGTTTAGGGTTGAAGCATCTGTTTTGGTCTGCTTCTGTATTGCTTCCTCTGCTGATAATCTAGGAGGGTGTGGCTCCTTCAAAATAATTTTAAGAAAAAATTCCATAATTACATTAAAACATCTCTCACTGTATTCCTTCACACACACTGGGCTCTATTAGTTGTTGTTGGACACAATACCTCCATTTTATTTATATGTGGTGCTGAGGATTGAACCCAGGGCCTCACAAATGCTAGGTGAGCACTTTACCACTGAGCCACAACCGATCATCCTTAATGACATCTTTATTGAATCTCTAGGTCAGAATTATTTTCTTTTATTATTTTCCTTGACAAATTATTTATTTAGTACTCATTTATTTTTATTTTGAATTACATATGCTTATTTATGGTCTGTCTTCTCTACCTATACTCTGGGTATCTTAGAATCAGACATAAGTTGTATTCAATTTCGGATTTTTCAATACCTACAACAAAATCTTAAACATAACAAATGCTTAATAAATGTTTGGCAAAATCAAATGTACTATTTAAGATCTATAATGGGGTGAATTTTTAGTTCCTGAAATAATATCAAAATGTAAACACTATCAAAATCAAATTATAAACATTGCTGCATAATTACCAAATAAATTATTATTATTCTCTTAACTTCCATGTCAGAGATACAGGACAGAATCACATATTAATAAGCATAAAACAACAAAATAAAGGCACAGTTAAATGAAGAACAGAATTTTAACTAAATGGGATTCTTTCATTTCTATCTCAAAATATTAGATTAAAGGCAATAGGTGAGATAGCTACAAGTATTAAAATATGTAGCTCTTTTTAAAAAAATTATTTATTTATTTTAATTTGTTCTATATGACGGCAGAAAGCAATTCAATTCATATTACACATATAGAGCACAATTTTTCAGTCTCTGGTTGTACACAAAGTAGAGTCACACAATATGTAGCTCTTAATAATATTATTTAGTTTTCTAAAACCACAGACTGATGCCCTAACCAAGGCTCAATTTTTTTTTTTTTTTTTTTTTTTTTTTTTTGGTTTTAGTGCTGAGGATTGAGCCTGGGGCCTTGCTTGCACGTGCTAAACAACACACTCTTCCACTGAGCTACAACCCCCACTCTTTTATTCTGAGAAAGGGTTTCAGTATATTGTCCAGACTGGCCTTGAACTTGAGATCCTCCAGCCTCACCCTCCAGAGTAGCTAGGATTATAGATGCACATGCAACTGGTCCCTAAATCATTTTTTTATGACGATAAAAGGTAGCAGTACTCTTATAAAATAAAAAGTAAAGGTGGTGCAAAAATATTATAAGATCCATTTCAGAGTCCTAAGAATAGTTCTGTTTTATTCCTTTACTTTTGCCTTCTGACTGTACCAGAAGGTAAGGGATGAAACACTGACTTCATATGATTATTCTGTAAAAACCAATGTTGGAGGCCCAACTGTCATTAAAGAACAGTAACAAATATCAAGTTAGTCTGAAAATTGAGTTGACAGAAGTAAAACTATAGACTTGAGCTTTAGATGCCCTGTTGCTATATTAGCTGTGGAGATTTCAATTCAACAAATATTTACTTTATACATATTATATGCACAAAATATATAAAGATTATTCAGAGATGGCTGCTGACTTTAACATATTTATAATTTAGTGAGGAATAGAGATAAATCGCTAAGGCACAGAGTGTCATAATTAACTTTTAAGAAAGGCCTATAAAAACATCAAAAAGAGATATAGTTTAACAAGGGGCTTACAGCTACTAATTGAGAGAAAACATGGCATGGTACAAAGACTTTGGAGTTAGTCATGCATATAAATCTTACCCTAGTCACTTTTTAGTTGTGTAAATGTAGAAAAAGTATTTAATAAGTATTTTTATAAAGTATTTAAAAGTATTCAATAAGTAAGGTATTGTGGTTAGGTATTACTTTCTGTTAGGCTTGGTTTTATCATTTAAAAGTATGAGGATAATTGGATAGTCACTGTGAGGGTTTAGGAAAGTATCTAACACAGTGATTGAATAAGAAAGCATCTACTTAATAATATGAAGTGATTGGCTTTCTGGGTAAATATATATATAAAAAAATAAATCCTTCCTGTCACTTATAAGCACTTGGCTATTGAAATGGATTTTCATCCCTTTGCCTCACCCCCGGTGCCAAGAATAGAACCCAAGTAATACGGTCAGCAAGTGTTCTCCTAAGTGGATTGTGTGTGTGTGTGTGTGTGTGTGTGTGTGTGTGTGTTGTGGGAAGTGGGGATGACAAGATTTCGTTACATTGTCCTGGCTAGTCTTGAACTCAAGATTCTCCCACCTCAGCCTCCAAAGTAGCTGGGACTATAGGCATCCATCATAATACCTGTCTTCATAAATGAATTTTAAATGCAATATTTTATTATTTCAAAATAGGAATAATCAATTAAATGTAATGTTATTTTTTTCCAAATTCTGGACAATAACTCTGACATAATGTTTTAAATTATTAAAATTCTTAAAAATAATGGTAATACTATTCCTTAGCAATTCATTTCTAGGTATCTTTAGTTGACAATAGCTTATACAATTTACCTTTAACAATTGGCAAGGTGTTTGCCCAAAGTTGTTAATCATTCCTTCTAAGGCTTTTCTTTCTTTTTCGTCTGTTAAGGCGTCCAGATCCACAGCTCCTAAAACCAGAAGTATACTTATAAGCTCACTATAGTGTGAAAACAAAACAGCATGCCACATCACAAACATCAGAAACGAAATTAGCATATGTGTGTGTGCACGTGTGTAATTTTTAAAAAATTTTTTACACTACTGGGGACTGTCCTTGGGTGATCAAACACAGAGACACTGTACAACTGAGCTAATCCCTACCCCTTTGTATTTTTTATTTTAAGACAAGGTTTCACTAAGTTTGTCCAGGCTGGACTTGAATTTATGATACTCCTGCCTCAGCCTCCCAAGTGGCTGGGAATACAAATGTGCATCACTATGTCAGGTGATTTTTCAGTCTTTTAAAGCAATCAGAAAACATTATTGTTATTATTTTTGTTCTAGTTATACATGACAGTAGAATGCAGAAAACATTCTTGATCCTGAGCTAAATAATGTCATTTGAAGAGTTTGTTATTGATAATTCTAAAGCTTTCTTTCAAAGTTTACTAGCAATTTAATATGTAATATTTAATGTAGAACTAACTAGGACATATATGTCAGATATCAAAAACTCTTTAGACAGCTAGGCATGGTGGTGCACACCTGTAATTCCAGCAACTCAGGAGGTAGAACTGCCAGCCTCAAGCACCTAGTGAGTCTCAAAGTAAAGAATAAAAAGGACTGGGGATGTAGCTCAGTGGTAAGGCACCCCTAAGTTCAATTAACAGTACCTAACTGAACCAAACCCAAAACTCTCTTTTAACACCAATAATGACATTTATAATTAGATTTGCCTATATATATACTTAGTTACTATCCTCCTACCCCAAAAAGCAGCATCTTCATTTTTCAATCAAAAAGCTGTTTTGCTAAGGAGGTCTTTCCTATATTAAGCAGGTTCAAAATGCCACAGGTGACCATATATTGAACAATAATTTCTATCACAATAATGCAGCAGAAAAAGTATATATGTTTATACCTTCATAACTACAGTAATAAAAAACATTGAGTGCCTCCACTGCAGCTGGTCCCCTCTGTTTATAACCAAAAATGAGATCTATCCATTCATGAAGATGAGCTGAAACATACTCCGATTCCTAGAAAAAGAACAAGTTTAATAATTAAGATATCTTCCAACTATAATATAATTTGTATTCTTTAAAAGAGCAAATGAGGGGCTGGGGTTGTAGCTCAGTGGTAGAGTGCTTGCCCAGTAACCATGAGGCACTTGGTTCGATCCTCAGCACCACATAAAAATAAATAAATAAAGGTACTATTTTCATCTACAACTAAAGAAATATATATATATATATGGGTTTTTTTGTGTGTGTGGTGCTGAGGATTGAACCCAGGGCCTTATGCATGCTAGACAAGCACTCTACCAACTGAGCTATACCCCCACCCCTAAAGAAATTTTTTTTTTTAAAGAGCAAATGAAACATTTCTACTCATAAATCTTTTCATCTGTACATAAAATTCTCTCAAAATAATGTTAAACATTTATTCAGTATCTACTATGTATATTGACTATTCATATGTACTATAAAGTAGATGATCTTTTTTTTTATCTTGATATGTGTATATTCTAACTACTAGGGGAAGAAAATAACATAAATAAGCCCAAATATCTAAAGGAATTAATGAGAGCTATGAAATGCATCTTTGTGTTAAAGTTTCCATTGAAATAGTTTTTAGAACTTTTCAATTCAAGAATAAAGAAAAAAATCAATTCAAGGAAACAACAAAACCACCTTGGGGTTGAAAAAGTGGCTGCAAATCACTTCCCACCTGAATCCACACACCAAGAGGTAAACCAAGTTGGGTAGCAGACAGAGACTTTATGGAGATTATTAGTGATGAGACAGCGAGGACATTGTTACTAGAGACAGGAGAAAGGGGATTCCTGTATTAGATACATCAGATATAGAAACGGATCTGTCTGTGGGTATTTTCCAGATTTGAAAATAAAACAATTTCATCCTGAGAACTCAAGAGAGCAAATATTCTCAAAATGAGAAATAGTCTGAGACAATGATCAAATCAGATCATTACCATTAAACTATAGCATCGGGTAAAAGTTTTCAGGGATTTGACTGTAAAACAATCTTTTTTTTTTTTTTTTTAAAGTGAGACAGATAACATGAATACATATGAGAGTATTTTTTTTTTTTTTTGAGAGAGAGAGAGAGAGAATTTTAATATTTATTTTTTAGTTTTCGGCGGACACAACATCTTTGTATGTGGTGCTGAGGATCGAACCCGGACCGCACGCATGCCAGGAGAGCATGCTACCGCTTGAGCCACATCCCCAGCCCCTGTAAAACAATCTTAAGACCTCAGAAAGATTCAAGGTTGTATCTCTTAGACCATTCGACTAGAAATTTTAAGAGTCTAAGAATCTTAACAGATTTTTCTGCAGTAGTTGCCCATTTGGCCCAAAGTAGAAAAGGGACCATTCTGTAAAGTACTGCAGAATAGCTTTTGTCCAATAGAGTTAAGAAACTCATAAAGTTTTAAAGGGATTATACTAGTTAACACTAAAAGAGAGAAAATTTGTTCAAAAAAGAAGAGATTGAAAAAAGAAAAAAAAAAGAGACCTTGGCTTTCAACTTCAAAGAATTTGACAAAGATACTCATGTAAACAGACTAGCAGGTGTGAGGCATGTGGTCCTTAGCACCTCATAAAAATAAATAAATAAAATGTCCATCTACAACTAAAATTATATTTTAAAAAAGAAAAAAAGAAAGGAAGGAAGGAGGGGAGAACCAAAGACTGAATGTAGGATCACACTCAGGGACCATGACTCCGCCCTAATGGAAAAAAAAATTTAAAAACATGTTCCTATTAGAATTTTAAAGTGCAATGAACCAGTGATTGCTGGGAGCCTCCTGTTCTTCTCTGTTTTCCCCAGCTCCTTTTTTTAAAGCAGGAATTCTACTGAAGTTTTTCTGTTTTGTCATGTCACTACTGTTATATGGAAGCAGATAACTTTCTTTACTTGGTGTATTGAGATCAGAAAGAGGCAACACCTAAGTGATTTCAGCTACTTATAGACTTGATTTAGATATCAAGATAATAGACTTTAGGACTCAAGTCTTTTTTTTTTTTTTTGGGGGGGGGGGTATGAATGGTGCTGGGGATGGAACACAGGGCCTTGTGCATTTGAGGCAAGCACTCTACCAACTGAACTGTATCCCCAGCATTCAAGTCTTAATGCAGGGATAAATTAACTACTGCCTGGGGGTCAAATCCTGATCTGCTGTCGCTTTAATAGATTAGTAGTTGAACTCAGCGACATCCATTTGCTTCAACACAAAAAAGGCAGAAATGAGCTATGACACAGAACCTTACTGTTGACAAACAGTTACAAAAAATTTGACAATTCCTGTCTTAATGCTTTAATGGAGGAGGGCAGACCATAGGTGTCTTAAGTGAGTTTATTTTGCCTCGCATATGTGAGGCACTAGGTTCGATTATGAGCACCACATAAAAATAAATAGATAAAATGAAAAAGATACTGTGTCTTATCTACAACTAAAAAAGTTTTTGAAAAAGGGTAGGGTATGTAAATGACTTGTGGTCAGAAGGCCAAAGTGTATGATGAATGAAAAATATCTGTAAATTCTTTCTTCCTCTCACTATTGAGAGATAGGGTTTACTTTCCCTCCTGTTGAATTGGCACTGATTCTTCAAACAGCATAAGATGGCAGAAATGATGCTATGAAAATTCAAAGTCTTAAATTATAAGAGAGCAAGGAAGATTTCATTTTTATACTTTTGGGGAGACCTGAGCTGCCATGTGAAACAAAAAAGCCTGGCTACCAATTGGAAAGAAGACATCCTCAGACTATAATGCAGAGAGAGAAAGAGACAATTTTGGAAAAACCAGTAAATCTTCAAAAATTATATATAAAGATAATTCTATCTATTATTTAATATCCCAGTATCTTAATGTACCCTTCAGATGATTCTAACCACAGATATCATGTAACTGCAACTACATGAGGACCTCAGGCAAGACCAGTCAAATCTCCCAACTGAGACCAGCTAACACACTGACCACTGAGAGATGGTAAAATGGCTATAATTTTAAGCCACTGAATTTTGGTATAGTTTGTTATAGAACAACACATAACTGGAACAAATTTTCTAACACTAAAGTGCATGTCTTCCCAAAATCCCGACTTCTACCTTAGATCTTAGATACTATTAGCAAAAAGGATTTAAAAGGCTGGAGGTATACTCAGTGGTGAAGCACTTGCCTAGCATGTGTGAGGTCCTGGGTTCAATCCCTCATACCACAGAAAATAAATAAGAAAGTAACTTGTGACTACCAAAAACTAAAAAATAAATATTAAAAAAAATTCTCTCTCTCTCAAAAAAGAAAGGAAGGAAGGAAGGAACGAACTAAGTAAATGGACTTGAGAAGTTTCTGCTAGCTAATAAGAAACAGTGTGTGTTGGGGGTGGGGTTGGGAAGAACAGAGTTACGAAAACAGTGAGCAGAGAGAAAAAGGTTATCTTTCAAGATTGCTTTATTTTCTTTTTTCCAATTCCTTATTTGTTTTTTTAATATTTATTTTTTAGTTGTAGTTGGACACAATACCTTTATTTCACTTATTTATTTTTATGTGGTGCTGAGGATCGAACCCCAGCGCCTCGCACGTACTACGCTGAGCCACAATCCCAGCCCCCCTTATTTGTTGATAAAGTTATTGCTTACAAATATAATCTAATTTTGATTTTTGTAAAATTGACAACTATATTATTTTAAAAAAATATTTATTCTTAAGTTTTAGGTGAACACAATATCTTTATTTTACATTTATGTGGTGCTGAGGATCGAACCCCAGTACCTCATGCATGCTAGGCAAGCACTCTACCACTTAACCACAACCCCAACCCCTGACAACTATATTTTAATGACAAAAAAAATGCTTCCAAGTATTAGCCTAATTAGTGCTCTAATTAGTTTCAGAGTCTGCAACATTTCATTTAAGTACAGAACCAGGTGGGCTACTATGGGGGGAAAGAGAGAACCAATTATATCATCTGCAAAACAGTAACATAATTATCAATATTTAACTAACCCTCATTAGTTCTTCAATTCCAAAGTGGAAATTTAACTGAAAATTAGTGAGCTTTAAAAAGTGTCATTTAGGATTTAGCTGCTTTTGTTATAAGAAACTTAAAATGTATTCATTCTTCCTGAGATTTGAAACAAGTGCAAAATATCAAACTACACCAGTTTGGTAAATGGAATGGTTATACATACAATAGGGAGATAAAGAACTGGAGTATTAAATACAGGTTTGAATAGTCCTTCTGCAAAGTGCTTGGGACCAGAAGTGTTTCAGATTCTATTTTTGTCCCCCCAATCCTTTTTCTTGAGACAGCATCTTGCTATGTTGCTCAGGCTGGCCTCAAATTCCTTGGCTCAAAGGATTCCCCCCACCCGCCTCAACCTCCCAAGTAGCTAGAAATACATGTTGAGTACCACCAGGCCTGCCTTGGATTTTGGATTTTTCCCATTTTGTAATATTTGCAAAGACTTGACCTGTTGAGCATAAGTCCAAACTCCCAAATGCTCTAAAATTCAAAGCTTACTTAAAGTTAAGTTTAAGGAGGTTCAACCTCTATTTTGTTATATTCATGGATTATAACATATTGCTACTGTATCAGAAGATTCTTAAAAATAAATTACTATATCATACTTTCTAAACACAGCATACATAACAAATTAATCTGAAAAAATAAAAATTAGGTATATTTTATTTCATCCTTTGGAAAACACATCTGTACCTTATTAATCTGTCTAATAACTAAACAAAAATCTTACCAGAGCTTTCCTATGTTTACAGATGAAATCTTCAGCTGACTTAGCCCACTTGGGAAGGATGACATTATTTACTAGTTCTCTGGAAACTTGTAGACGACCCAAGTTAAATTCTAAGACATAAAAGATAAAAACATTATATCACTTTAGATTTAAATATATGAAGTAAATCAAATATAAATGAGGGATGCTACTAAGCAAAATAGTGGCTTTTTCCTCGTTAGTTTTTATCTATTGGCATATACACTATCCCATTAATTTAAAAAGTTTTAAATTAGTTTTTACAGGGGAAATCAGAATAAGAATTAATTCCTTTGTTGAGAAAAGTAGTTACAACACTCATGTTAATCTGAACAAAAATGCAGTATTAAGTATTCTTTTTACACTAAAATCAAATCCTCTAATGGTTAATTTACAAAATATAGCTACTTTGAGCTTTTTGGTAAAACATATACCTTAAAATCATTCATTGGAAGAGCTCTATTTTGTTTTATGGAAGAATAATATATTTATATACTACTATTCTAAATAGATATTTGCATAACAGAATTTTGCTCTTATAGTTAGAACATAGAATTTTCCTAAATATGAGGTTTTCTTGTAGGAGGAAAAGTGTTAACGTAAGAGACCTTCAGAAAAAAGGCTCTTAAAATACCAGTCTTAAAATAACATTGTGCTGCCTTAAAATACCATGTGTCCAAAGTTGGAGTGAGGTTTAAATGTCATAGAATAACAGGATGCACAGGATCTTTGGCTTTATGTTAAGTCAGTCACTGTGTAGCAAATATTTTTCATTGTCCAAATTTATGGTTATTCCTCCTTTTATCTGCTAGCAGAACATTTATTCATTTGTGTATTCATTTTTCATTTCTTATCTACATTACACACCCATTCCTGGTGTGTTTTAGGGGTTGGTGTATGACCTAGCTCTGGAGAACAAGGAGAGGTTATAAGAAAGGATTTCTCATTCTTAAGAAAGAACACAATGGGCCAGGTACAGTGGTGCATGACTGTAATCCCTACAGCTAGGGAGGCTGATGCAGGAGGACTGCAGTTCAAAGTCCACCTCAGAAACTTAGCAAAGCCCTAAGCAACTTAGGGAGACTCTGTCTCAAAATAAAAAATAAAAAAAGACTGGGGGTGTGGCTCAGTCATTAAGTGCCCCTAGGTTTAATCTCTGGAATCACACAAATACATACACACACACACACACACACACACACACACACACACAGAAAAAAAAAAGAAAAAAGAAAGGATTCAAGAGATTAACAGGCTCATTTCTTTCTAAGATACCATTGTATCTACCTATGACACTTAACACTGCTTCAGTGATTTTAACTTGTGAGAGGAACTAGACATAGACAAAGTTGAAACACTCAGAGTGGCAGAGTGAAATACAGAAAGAAAACTGGCCTTGATGATATTAAGCTATCTGGAACTACTATACCTTTGGGTTTCTATTATAGAAAATACTAAAATTTCCTTGTTTGTATAATTGAGTTGGTTTTATTAATATTTGCTCCTGATGGCAGATTACCTGATATATTTGCTTTCTCCTACCCAGCTCATTTCAAACAACAAAGTAATGTACAGTTAGAAATAGAGGCCATCAGGACACAGTGCTAAAGACCACAACTGAATCTGATAAATATCATGAGTTGTTGGGTTAAAAGTGCCTTAAATTTTTGAACCAAATTTAGTGTGTTCATCCTCCTATCCCAGATACTCTGGCTTTAGGAGACTCCAGTGTAATGGCTGATTGACCTTGGGATCAGACTCAGTCAACAGATCACCTGATTTTCTGAAAGTCACTAATTCGGACTGTATTACTCTCAGAATAAGATGTCCTGCCTCTAAAACCTGTTCCAGAATGCATGATCAAAATGACATTAAGCCCTCTTCCCAGCTTAACAAACTCTTCTGAGCAAGAGTCAAACAGAGAAAAAAAGAGTAACTGGTAATGATCCTTTAACACTGTGGAATTGCCCTAAAGAACACCAGTAGGTTTGTCATGTTCTTTATTTGTACTAAAAAGTGTATGTAAAACTACTGTGAAAGTGTCCAGGTATTTTAAAAGACTGGGTTTAGCTCTATGCTTGTCTACTTTAAAAATATAAATTTTCAAACAGTGTGATAAACTTAAGTCATTAATCCCAATTTGACTCCTCTCCTATGTTCTAATTAAGGAGTCTGTAAACTTTTTCAATAAGGGATCAAATATAAATATTTTTGGTCTTGTGATATAGTCTCTGCTGCAACTACTCAAGTCTACTATTAATCTCTGAAAGCAGTCATACATAGATGATATATAAAACAATTGGCTGTGTACCAATAAAACTTTATTTGTAAAAATATGAGTTTGCTTATTGATTTGGTCCATGGACCTGTAGTTTGCTGATCCCTAGTCTAAATCCTGATCTTAGATCTAACTCAAAAGACTCTTAGTGACAGCATATGGCCAGTTTTGCTTCTCTAGTTACACTGTACAGACAGATTTTCTTATCAGTTCAGATTTGACTCATTAATCTTAGTTCCCTATAGAACATCCCTAGAAGGGAAGACTAATACCTGGGCATCAGTTAAACCCTGTCACTAAGTAATCTATGGATAGAATGAACCTTAAATAAGATATATGACATTGCAGACAGGTCCTGAAAGTTATTTTTCAGGTTCCACCATTGGATCTGCTAAGGTAATTTTTTAATCCTCTATTTCTTACGATTTTGATTTTCCAAAAACTCTGGAAAATAGAAGAATTCAGGAATAAGTTCTTTCACATCATATGGATTATCCATGAGAGCTTGCCAGGTAGCAGGGATGGAATGAAACTGTCGATCTGCACAGTCGAACCTGCAAGGAGAAATTAAAAACGAACAGTAAATACTGGATCAAAACAACAATAAGACATGAAACAAAACCTTTAAACTCCCTGTAGGTTTCTGAATGATTAGAGCTGCTCTTTTCTTCATCTTTTTCTTTCATATCTAAAAATGTAATTTTCTCTATTACAATTTTTTTTTTAATTTTTTATTGTGGGTTGTTCAAAACATTACAAATTTCTTGACATATCATATTCCACACTTTGATTCAAGTGGGTTATGAACTCCCACCTTCACCCCATACCCAGATTGCAGAATCACATCAGTTACACATCCATTGATTTACAAATTGCCATACTAGTGTCTGTTGTGCTTCGCTGCCTTTCCCATCCTCCACCCTCCCCCCTCCCCACCTCTCCCCTCCCCTCCCCTCCTCTCTCTCTACCTCCTCCACTGTATAACCCTGAGGGTCTCATTCCATTACCATGCAATTTCCCTTCTTTCTCCCTTTCCCTCTCACCTCTCATCCCTGTTAAATGTTAATCTTCTTCTCCTGCTCTTCGTCCCTACTCTGTTCTTAGTTACTCTCCTTATATCAAAGAAGACATTTGGCATTTGTTTTTTAGGAATTGGCTAGCTTCACTTAGCATAATCTGCTCTAATGCCATCCATTTCCCTGTAAATTCTATGATTTTGTCATTTTTTAATGCAGAGTAATACTCCATTGTGTATAAATGCCACATTTTTTTTATCCATTCGTCTATTTTTTTTTTTTTAATTTTTTATTGTTGGCTGTTCAAAACATTACATAGTTCTTGATATATCATATTTCACAATTTGATTCAAGTGGGTTATGAGCTCCCATTTTTACCCCATATACAGATTGCAGAATCACATCAGTTACACATCCATTGATTTACATATTGCCATACTAGTGTCTGTTGTATTCTGCTGTCTTTCCTATCCTCTACTATCCCCCCTCCCCTCCCCTCCCCTCCCCTCCCCTCCCCTCTTCTCTCTCTGCCCCCTTTACTGACATTCGTTTGTCCCCCTTGTATTATTTTTCCCCTTCCCCTCACTTCCTCTTGTATGTACTTTTGTATAACTCTGAGGGTCTCCTTCCATTTCCATGCATTTTCCCTTCTCTCTCCCTTTCCCTCCCACCTCTCATCCCTGTTTAATGTTAATCTTCTTCTCATGCTCTTCGACCCTACTCTGTTCTTAGTTACTCTCCTTATATCAAAGAAGACATTTGGCATTTGTTTTTTAGGGATTGGCTAGCTTCACTTAGCATAATCTGCTCTAATGCCATCCATTTCCCTGTAAATTCTATGATTTTGTCATTTTTTAATGCAGAGTAATACTCCATTGTGTATAAATGCCACATTTTTTTTATCCATTCATCCATTGAAGGGCATCTAGGTTGGTTCCACAGTCTAGCTATTGTGAATTGTGCTGCTATGAACATCGATGTAGCAGTGTCCCTGTAGCATGCTCTTTTTAGGTCTTTAGGGAATAGACCGAGAAGGGGAATAGCTGGGTCAAATGGTGGCTCCATTCCCAGCTTTCCAAGAAATCTCCATACTGCTTTCCAAATTGGCTGCACCAATTTGCAGTCCCACCAGCAATGTACAAGTGTACCCTTTTCCCCACATCCTCGCCAGCACTTGTTGTTGTTTGACTTCATAATGGCTGCCAATCTAACTGGAGTGAGATGGTATCTTAGGGTGGTTTTGATTTGCATTTCTCTGACTGCTAGAGATGGTGACCTTTTTTTCATGTACTTGTTGATTGACTGTATGTCCTCCTCTGAGAAGTGTCTGTTCAGGTCCTTGGCCCATTTGTTGATTGGGTTGTTTGTTCTCTTATTGTCTAATTTTTTGAGCTCTTTGTATACTCTGGATATTAGGGCTCTATCTGAAGTGTGAGGAGTAAAGATTTGTTCCCAGGATGTAGGCTCTCTATTTACCTCTCTTATTGTATCTTTTGCTGAGAAAAAACTTTTTAGTTTGAGTAAGTCCCATTTGTTGATTCTAGTTATTAACTTTTGTGCTATGGGTGTCCTATTGAGGAATTTGGAGCCCGACCCCACCGACTGTAGATCGTAGCCAACTTTTTCTTCTATCAGACGGCGCGTCTCTGATTTGATATCAAGCTCCTTGATCCATTTTGAATTAACTTTTGTGCATGGCGAGAGAAAGGGATTCAGTTTCATTTTGTTGCATATGGATTTCCAGTTTTCCCAGCACCATTTGTTGAAGATGCTATCCTTCCTCCATTGCATGCTTTTAGACCCTTTATCAAATATAAGATAGTTGTAGTTTTGTTTCTGTGTCCTCTATTCTGTACCATTGGTCCACCCGCCTGTTTTGGTACCAGTACCATACTGTTTTTGTTACTATTGCTCTGTAATATAGTTTGAAGTCTGGTATCGCTATACCGCCTGATTCACACTTCCTGCTTAGCATTGTTTTTGCTATTCTGGGTCTTTTATTTTTCCATATGAATTTCATGATTGCTTTCTCTATTTCTACAAGAAATGCCGTTGGGATTTTGATTGGCATTGCATTAAACCTATAGAGAACTTTTGGTAATATCGCCATTTTGATGATGTTAGTTCTGCCTATCCATGAACAGGGTATATTTTTCCATCTTCTAAGATCTTCTTCTATTTCTCTCTTTAGGGTTCTGTAGTTTTCATTGTATAAGTCTTTCACCTCTTTTGTTAGGTTGATTCCCAAGTATTTTATTTTTTTTGAGGATATTGTGAATGGAGTGT